AGATGCATTGCGGCCGTTCGGTTTAACGCTTAAGTGAATGAAACGTTTAAATTATATTCGTGTAAACATTCAATCTACTGGCAAGTTATCACGGTAAACGACCTTCTAAATTTGTTTTTATTATCGTGCAACTTATGAATGATTGTGAAATATTCTAGTTCACGCATTTTCTCTTTAAAATCATTAAAAAACATCCCTCAGATAATGTATCTTTTTTGAGTAAAACAACAAGGGAAATATTGTGACATGTGCATACCACATGTGCTGCGTAGCTAAATCACACCCGGCATCGAACCTTCAGTTCAATGCTTGTTCAAACTAGAGTCGGTGTATAATGAGTCACGCCAAGAGAAAAACAGTTGAACTCGCATCACGGTTTTCGAAAGATTCTCTGTCTTTACACTTGGCAACAGAGGACTGCTACATCAACTTCAAATGACTTCTAGCAAGCAAAAAAATAGCAGCTGTTGTAAATCATTATATCAGTGATTTTGTCCAATCATCTTAACCAAAAATAGTAGAAATTCTCATTACTGATCGTTACCAAACGTTTCCCATGACAATTTAATGCTCGTTGCGTGTTTATGATCATTTCTTCGATTATATTTTATATTTTATTGCAATACATTTCGTGGACCTTTCATAGCATCGTAATGTTTGTTTACTTTGCACGATAGGTAGCCGGTTTGACAGTTCAATAGGTACACTTGGCTTCACTCTTGGCGTGACTCATTCATTATACACCGACTCTAGTTCAAACCTACTCAGCATTTATGACGACAAATAAAGGTGTCGTATGACAAACTCTTGATACATGGTGTTACCATAGAGGTAACTCTAAGACCACTGGGTCCCGAAGAAAATCATTATTATTTTTGGCTCACTCAGTACCAGAACAACGGTCCCAAGCAGTCCCAAGCTATTTCACTCACCCCTGCATGTTCTGCATGAATCCACACACCCCTGATGTTATCTGTCAAACTTTCATAGCGAATCAAAACAAACATAGTGTAGTAATAGAATTTCAACTAGAATGGGGTACGCCATAGAAGTACTTGGGACCAATAGGCTACTCAAGCAGTGAATCAATTTAAATCGATAGTTTCCACCCCCTGGTGTTACCATGCGTACAGTCATGGCTTTCGGATACTCTTCCTTTCCTTTTTAAGCATGGACACTGTTCGCCGATTAGTGTCCGAGTAAATAGCAGTTTATATACTCGGTGCATCAAGTGTCTCCAACTAAGGCTCTGTATCAAAAATATGAAATAGAATAAATCAACCGTCAAACACGACGCATCGTGGACAGTGAAAGAGATCACGGTCATGAGTCCATTGAACAGGAATTAACAATGTGAACGGAAGAGAAGGCAACAATCGAAATTACCACTGCTTCGACAGGCAACTACAGTTTACATAAACCTCTCCCATGCATATACAGAGAGGTACCGCTAACTGAAAAGAACTTTTTGATTTTTTCAATAAGGGGCTGTTCATTAACTACGTAGACAGTTTTTTTTTATTATTGATACATTTTTTTTTCAATTTGTATGGGCTGTGGATAATTGCCAACCCCCCTCCCCTAAACTCTGTCTACGTAGTTAATGAACAGCCCCTAACCACAACCCATCCCGAGCAAAGCAAATCGAAATTAAATTTAGATATCAACATCAAACTTAAATCATGGTTTGATTTCAGTTTATGCTATTGAAAAATTTGATAACCAAAATCATTTTGCTTGCCATTTGCTTAAAAAAAAACATGTACATTTTTCAAAAGTATTTTTATGGAAAATTCAGATCTTTTTTTATTTCAGCAGATTTGTAAAGTAATATCATAGAGGTAACTCTAAAACCACTGGGTCCCGAAGAAAATCATTATTATTTTTGGCTCACTCAGTACCAGAACAACGGTCCCAAGCAGTCCCAAGCCATTTCACTCACCCCTGCATGTTCTGCATGAATCCACACACCCCTGATGTTATCTGTCAAACTTTCATAGCGAATCAAAACAAACATAGTGTAGTATTAGAATTTCAACTAGAATAGGGTACTTTAATCGTTTGCTTGGGACCAATAGGCTACTAAAGTGGTGAGCCAATTTAAAATCGTTAGTTTCATATTGATTGTTGGTAATATCCTATCGATTGGTGTATTTGGATTTTAATTTCATCTATAAATGACAAAGCGTTCAAAACCTAACACTATTTCACCACACATATTTTTTGATTTGCACCAAAGTAGTTCTACGTCAAAAATATGTTGTTACAGTTTTGTTTTCATTGCCTTAGTAGATCATCAAATTGAATACAGTACCCCCAAGAAGCCCGAGTATTTAGTGTTTTCAAAATCGAACAGTTTTATTTTGAAATTTAATTTATGATTTCGTTGATTTTGGACCACAGTGAGTCATGTTTATAACATAAACGTTATTAATAATTAATCTTTTACATTGTAATCACAAGAAGCAAAAATACATCATTCTCAAAATCCGTTCGATATTTGGATTATGTTACTCGTTTTGTTATCAACAGGATTATCTGTTACAGAAACAATGTACATCAAATATAGTTTTCAGCTTGCTCTCAGAATTAGTTTCCAGTTTAATGTCTAGTAAGATTCTTGTGTTCTCAATTTTGATATTTTAACCGACCAAAACGACAGCAACCTAATTAGGGGAATTTACGTATTCTCGGCAACCTAAGTAGCGACCTTCTTTCTATAGCCTTTTTCTCTAAGGAACGCACACATATGCAGTATTGGTTTGTTTACAATCTTTTGCTGCCAGCTGCTCTAACAATTTCAGTCGAAAGAATTGTCAAAAACTGTTTTGAAACGCTTTTACAAAGCTCCAATCTTCTCTAGTGAGAGCGAGTATTGTCGGCAACCAGTTTTTCTTCGGCAACCGTTCCATTTGAACAGCATGTAAATCTGCTGTTCTATTATCGGCAACTCGAAATCAGCTACAATTGTAGTGCGTGTGTTTCATTTCAAGAAAACCTTGCTAGATTGCTTTTTCTCAGTGGTAAAAATATAGTCAAATTGAAGCTAGAAGCATAAAGAATCGTTTGCATGCATTCAGCGAAGTGTTTTCGTAAGAAAATCCAGTGACAATAGTGTTTCAATTTGTGTTGCCGAAAATAGTCTGTCATGCCGAAGCCGTCATTTCCCCTATATCAGCGACTTCACAACATCAAATTTAGTTTGCAATTTGCTCTCAGATTTTCTCAGTTTTCACGGGCAAACCATCGTTCATTTGGTGAGCTCGTTCCTGTTTATATATTCACCTGTTTCGGTTTCAACAACTTTGTCTTAGGCATCATTTCGAAGAGCCGCTTTCGTGCTGTATATTGATGAGAAATCAAATGTCGAGCACGCTATTGTCAAAGGTTGGGTTGCCCCTTAAATGCTGAACAGTTGGCCTGGCCGTATTGACATATTTTGCGTTTCTCTGATGTTCAAAATATACCAAATAGAAAAGGATGGAGGTGTATCTATCATTTTCTAGGATGCTTTCATGAACTGGCTGTGTTGGTGTTATATTAGATTAGATGAAAACAAGTTTGAACCAAATCGACTTCGGTTAGGTATCTTGATGTCATTTGTGACAACTGTCGTTTGCCGTTTCCGTTCCGCTTCCGCCCACATTGCGTTTGGGCCTTTACCTATACAGTTTGGTTGGTTCCTTAATTTTCTCCAATAGATAGAGGCATGCTACGATGTGTGGTTTTAGGTTTTCCGTTTCCTTGATCTCTATTAAGCAATGTTGATGAATTATATTTAAATATTTCTAAACTTTCTGCTATATCTACGTCAGCATTTAGCCGCGGTAAAATGAAATATATTAAATATACAAATAGTCCCTTACGGTTGGTGTATTTGTTTTGTTGTAAATTCCTTGACACCTGGTTTTTGATAATAAAGATACCATTTGAGTTCAGTATTCTTACTACCAAAAATCTGGTGTTTTGATTTTGCTAAAAAAAAGTCTCTGTGTTTTTATGGTTTTTATCAATTTGAACGATTAAAAAAACTCTAAAATTGATTGTGTAAAAGATCTTATTCCGGATTTGTAGGACGAAAAGTGGAAGAGGCTGATAGGCAAACAGAAGGTCATCAAGATGGAGTGAATCAAGCGGGCCGCCATCCGGGAAGTTGAAGCATTTGAGTAAGGGTTGGTCGCCGGTAAGGGCCAGTAAGTGCTGCCAGCAGATGAATCAAGAGGTATTCGAAACAAAATTGGTAAGAAATGTCCATTCAAATCGATTTAATGCAGTTGAACAAATTTCAAAACTATATACGTGCCAGATTTGGAAATAATATTTTTGAATCTGGAAGTGTGTTTATGATACCATTATCCATTTGATAAAGGTAGAGTGAACATGCGGGGCTTATTGTAAGTAAAAGTGACCTCGGAGTGGTCGTGAATTACCAGGCATTCTGAAATGGGTCACTGGAGCTGCAATAGAGCTAACACCTTCTAACTCCCGGACTAAACCTGCTTTAATTTAAGGGTAATAAAAAGCAGTTTTCTTCCATAATAACACTGCCGGACAGTGGGGGTTAGATTGTACACACACACACACACACACACAGTATTCTTACTACCAAAAATCAGGCAGCTAGAAATTGAGAAAAGGCTCCAATCGCAAACTACGATACATCTCTGCATGGGAGTAATAAGCGCCAATTGTGTAGTAACACGTGACTGTACCTCTCCTCATGTCATAGTGGAAGATCATGACTCCGACATTCAAATGGCTCAAACATAAACAACATATCTACATGCTCACATATTCACATGGGCCCACAATCACGCAAAAAACAAAAAAAACCTTGTGGAATGCAGCCAGAACCTGCCGAGAGAACGATCCGAGAGCACTGATCATGTGCGAGTTTTTAGAACCGCACTCTCAAAAAATAAATGTTGTCTCCACCACACGACGACGACAGAAACATATGCGCCCGTCACACAACACCATAGTCACACATAGTAGACCGCGCTGTGACCACGGCGATCGCGACTTTTGGCTGGGGGTTATTTTTACTCGAGTGCTTCTCAGCGGTTGCAGTGCTAATAAGCTTCGATAGGCGATCTTTGCCGGACCGACTTTAATTCGAAATTTTCGTGTGAAAATATTTATCCGGATCCGGTACGGTGGTTTCCGGCGTAACGTTCCGAAATGGCCATCGAACAACTCGGGTACAGCGTGTTTTTCATCGCGCTGAGCTGCGCGATCGCGGCAGTTGCCCGACGATTGAATGGCAAATTGTCCAAAGAAGGCCTAGTGAGGGAACTGATCTTTGAGGCCATCGCCGCCGGGGAACTGTGTGCTTGTTGCTTTGAGTTGATCATCGGTATGCGGTTTCTGGTGGACATTTTATGATCGGGTGTAATCGTAGTGTTGATGTATGGATTATTTCCAGTTGCCGACAACTTTGGAGTGGCCACCTATGCGGTGTTCCTGTTCACGCTGACGATTTGGTGGGGATTGCAGTGGGGTAATGCTACAGCATGTCCCTACACCTATATGGAGCAGATCGTGCAAGGTTGGTGTAATGATACTGTTGCATAACAGGCGTGGACCGTTTTAGAAGAGTTCATACAAAGTTAAATTATGTATCTCATAGTGAGGATTAACTATTCACCAAGAAGGGTAAATTTAAATGTCTATCATGCAAATTGGGAGAAGCATTTCGAAACCGACACTTGTGTTGTGATTTTGAGAGAGGATAGGTAGCGAGCATGTGAGAGTGACTGTGAACATAGATCACGTTTTCGCGAGTTTTGTGAGATGCGCGTGCGAGAAAAAGAATCAATTTATTTATGGGAGGCGTGTTAAACAATACCGGGAAGTAATTGATTTCCGGCGTTTCAATTGTTATACCAGAGAGTGATTGAAGTGGAATCAATGGGTTTAGACTTGAACAAGCATCTTTCATAGTACGTTAGGTTAGGTTACTTTACTAAAGAGACTTTCAGCCATTGTCGGTTTCGTCTCTGGGGATCTCTAAGGGAGATCCCGGGAAGGAGGATGGGGCCCCAGAAGGGGGTCCCCCTAATACATAGTTGTTTAAAACAGAGTGTTGTATGCAACCTAGTTTGCTATCATAGTACGTGTTGGCCCAAACACATGTACCGTTATTCTGAGTGATTTTGTACACTATTTTTACTACTAGTAAATACATATTTAGGGGCACAATTAGCAAGATCGCCACCTGGGCAATATGTAAAGTTTACATCGAAAATCTAATTTTTTGGAAATTGCCTAAACGTACCTTTTTTAACATTGATCCTAAGATGTGAGGTTCCAAAAATTGTTTAGAAGTATTCAATAACTATCAAGAAACTGATGAAAATTTGCCTACCAAAAAAAAAAAAAACTCAATGTAATAACAATTGGCAATTAACAACAGGGTAAGTTGCAAATTATTGCACACCATCCAATAGTGCACATTGTTTACTGTGCAGCATTTATCCATGATCATGACGTTTACCGGTCATGATGCCATGTTAATCATTGATTAATTGCTGAATGATAAAAAATATGATTTAGGTATTTGGTATTGGCAATACTATTTTAAATATTGTTGGATTTTTACATTTTTTTTATTTTCCAGCTAATAATCTTCAGTTGTAAAATAAGCTATAACTAGCTTAATATTTAATAAGTTCAGCATTTTTTATAGGATAATGTTCAATATTCTTTTATAGAACAATCTTTTGGTATACATACATCAACCATGTCAAATTTAAAGGAAAACATTACTGTTTAATAATTGGATCATAAGCCTGGTCATGAATCAAGATGGGAAATGTATAGGTGTATAAGTTTATGGCAAAATAAACAATTCCAAAACAAATACGGGCGGATTTGGACAGATTTGGATCTGTTTCATACGACCGGAATGCTGGCCAGAAATGCCTTGCCAAATTGATTTCCTACGCAAGTGAACAATCATTGATGTGAATATCGCGAACAAACACGAGGAGCATTGATTATAGCAAAACTTGCCAAATACAATCATCATAGTTCATTTTAGTAAACAAACTAACACTCTTCCTTGTCACGATGTCTCTGGTAGAACAACATTAATAATAAAAAAAAATCGTTAAAACACTTACCAAACGAAAGCTTATGGTCTCCCCTTTCAAATGAGATTAACCTTCGAAACATTTTTTTTTTATATTTTGGTATGAATTACGGTTGAACTTTTTTTTAAGCTTGCTTTTCAAAGGGTGGTTTGAAAAAAATCAGTGGAACTTATGATTTGGATACAATTTAATCGTAGCAGGCCATGACTCTAAAATACTATCTGTCATATGCATTCTGCGCACGTGGTGTTGTGAACCAACTGGTATTTGTTTCTTGTGAAAAAGTGAACTTTTGTTGTTGTTTGCTGAAAAAAAAGTATGGCTCTATCTAATTAAAAAATATTCAAACGTTTATCTATATACACATATAATTCTAACAGAAAAACTTAAACATCAAACCGAAAAGTCACGAAAAAAATCGTTCGTTGGTGTGCATACTGTGCTTGAAGAAGCTGCATCTTCAACCACTATCAACAAAGGTGGTTGATATTATCGAACAACACTTTCTTCACGATGTTAGATCGATAGGTTGGTATTATCCTACAAAAAATTGTCGAGCATGTTCGTATACAGTTTATTCGTATAGTAATAAGAATAATTCTGATAATACCACGCTGTACAAGTATAAGTACAATTTAAAAGTTGCCACTCGAAACGCTGATATTTGCGCATGCGAGATATGCATTGCTGCAAGAGTGACAATTTCACCTAAATCCAAGGGGAAACGTGGCAGACCCAGCTCCTCGGGTAATGCGAAAAAAAGTGCCAGTTGAGTTTATGTCCATACTGCTATTCGGAAATGGCAAAAGGTAAACGACATACATGTACGAAGACTGTGGCGAAGCGCAATTTGCTCGGCATTGTCCAGAACGCTCAAGATGCTGGAGACCCTGTCGTTGCGAAGTATATGAGGGACAAACCCACGGATGGAGATGGTCAGGTCAGCTCTCTAATCTACACGGACTACCATCCAGCTGGAAATCCGCTATAGCTACTGGTGTTCAGGTGAAAAGGAAACCACATCTGTCCGCTGACGATTTGTTTTTGATAAAAAGAACTTGTGATTTGAGTACCAGACGGACATTACAACTGAGCACCTGTCTAAGGGGCTTAGACATCGAAATCGCCCCCAACGTCTCTTCCAAAATAACAATCCTAAACCAATCACTCCAGCGCTTTTTCGAGGTAGCATTCTATTTGAACGATAGTGAAGAAATGGTTTTGAAGCCAGTCTATTGTAACGACGTGCAAGGATTGATAGAGCATATTAAAGGGTGTCTACGATGAAATTGCCACACACAAAATTGATTAGCGAAATTCGAGTTTTCATCCGATTGCCATCAAATTTTCAGGGATTGAGAAATAACTATTAAACTTCATTTTACCATTTTACTCGTATTTTATTTACAGTACATACGCAAATGCCCGCACCTTGGCCTTAACCCCGGCCATAAGATTCTGCACAACCTGTGAATCAACCGTTTTTTGCATGTAAACCCATACTTTCTTCAGTTCCTCGACTGTCTTCACTACCTTAGGTCGTTTAAGAAGGTGCTGCTTCATAATCGCCCAGTACTTCTAGATGGGGCGGAGCTCCGGAGTGTTGGGAGGGTTGAACATTTTCGGCACGAAATTGACCTTATTGTCCGCATACCACTTCAGCACGTCCTTGGAGTAGTGACATGAGGCCAAATCCGGCCAGAAGATTGTTGGGACGTTGTGGGCCTTCAGGAGAGGAAGCAGCCGCTTCTGGAGGCACTCTTTTATGTACACCTGTCCGTTCATCGTGTCCTGGGTCACGAAAGGTGCACTCCGCTTCCCGCACGTGCAGATGGCTTGCCAAACCAGGAATTTCTTCGCAAATTTGGACATCTTCTGAGTGCGGACATGCTCCGGAACGCTGAACTTATCCTTGGCCGTGAAAAACAGGTTGCCGGGGATCTGTTTGAAGTCGGCCTTCACATATGTTTCGTCGTCCATGATGCAGCATTCAACTTTCGTCAGCATGTTGAGGTACAACTTCCTGGCACGGGTTTTGGCGGACTTGTTCTGCTTCTCGTCGCGATTAGGAGCCTTTTGTACCTTGAACGTTCGAAGCCCAGCCTTAGTTTTGGCCTTCTGGACAAAACTTCGGCTCAGGTGCAGCTTCTTAGCCACATCCCTAACGGAGGCGTTCGGATTTCGGTTGAAGGCCCCAACTACGCGGCTGTGATTTTTGGTGTTGTACGGAATACTTTTTCCTTCACTTCTGGGCTTCCGATCGGTGGTCAACCGTTCCTCGAACCGCTTAATCACTCGCGACACCGTGGAATTCGCGATTCCCAACGTTTTAGCGATGGAACGATGCGAGAGATCCTTGTTCTCGTGATGAATGCGCAAGATTTTATCACGCACGAGCTGTTCTTTCGACTCCATTTCCGCGAGTTTTGATCACAGGACTTTAAAACTTGCAGGATGTAAATAATGCACTATGAACTAAATCCACCCAAATTTTCATTAAATTCTACCCAACGGTTAAAAAGTTAGAGCAATTTCATAGTGTAGCAGTTTCATCGTGGACACCCTTTATATCCAAAAGAGGCGTTGATTTGACAAGCTCGTTCGGTAAAATCGGTGTTGAGGGGCAGTTCTTTTAAAGTGACTCTGTCCATTATCGAAAGATCTCAAACAACGAACTCCAAGTTGAATGAAACACGAAGCCATTGCAAGGATACTGGTTTAAAAATGCTTTTACTGTTAGCAGTTGCTCCTGGAGTCCCCGAGAAATATAAATCTTGCACCTGAACAATTTCAAGTGCTTTGTTGCCGGGGATTTGAACATTGTCAACCTCCTTAGTGGAATAATGGGACACAGTTCAACATTTCCTTGTTCTTATTGTACCGCACCGAAGAATAATCTTTTTGCAATACAGCTGCACAGTCTCGAACTCTCGGAGATATTCGTCAGTGGCATGGAAAAGCCAGGGGTCAGCAAATAAACTGGTGAGAAACTTTTTCAATTATATTGATGAGTCATTGCTGTGCGGATAATCTGACGACCAAATCATAAGCCTCTGTCCACCGCCTTCCTTACACATTACGCTTGGAACTATAAATGCAATCTACAAGAAGGTGGAATCCATTGATTCAGATACTGCTATGGATTGAGCAAGTAACAGTAGCTGCCAACGTCACAGAAAGTACGGATTAACCGGACAAAATTGCCTCAAACTGCTGCAAAATCGACATATTTTGCAATCTGATGGAACCTTGAACTTGCTAAGAACTGAAAGTAATCTTATCCTTATTTCAATTACCATTTTATAATGCTAAATTATATTGTAGGCACTCGATCAATTTGATCTTGTCTACAAGGGTTGTTTTTCAAGAAAATCTATGTGAAGATTACCTAGAAAAGGTTGAGAACTTTTCTAAGACGTCGATTACAGCAAGCTTACCTAATAGCTCCAAATTC